AGAATGATAGGTTTCTTTTTTGTGAGTGTAAAACACTTAAATACACTATTTCGAGTACTTAGTTGTGTTCTTCAAGCTTGTTAGTTTCTTTTCTTTTGCACTTGTTCTCATACTAACATTATAAACAGCCAAATCTTCTAATCTCTTGCTCAGCTGAGGTAGTTCACTTGTGTTCCATTATTACTCTAAGCCAAGAATACCACGATATATGTATATAAACTATCTCTAAAAAAAAAAAAAAAGATGGAAGCTTGTTATACCTTTTACACGGAATCATAATTCTCCTGAATATCCTTAAAACAAGTTTTTTTGGCACTTTTAAATTTCTCAAATCTGACAATAATAATATAAAAATACCTCTATTACAAACTTACTTTTTCTGAATCTTTGGCCCTGTGTAACTCCTACAGCTTGTGGAAATTGAGGGGTAAGTGACATGTTGCCTGGTGATGACACTAAATACTGATGTTGCATGGTGGTAAAAGCTGGTTGACCCATTCCTAACATCATGGGCTGCTGGGGTAGGGCAACTACAGGGCTCTGTGTATGCATTCGATGCTGTTGAACTGTAGCTGGAGCTGGGGGAGTGACTGCTGGCACTGGTGTTCGCTGTAGTTAAAGAATGATTTACAGAAAAATACAGAACTATTTTGGAAGACCAGTTTGAGCTTCATAACAAATATAGATTCCTTTTCTTTTATATTCTGTTTATTTTAAACCACCTTTATTATTATATACTGTTATAAGCTATTTCTAATAATAATAATTTGAGCAGTTGTGATCATACTCTTGTCTTTCACAGAATCAGAACATTACATACGTATCTATTTTCATTACATATTTAAATAGTATCATGGTTTAATTTACATTTTATGCTTCAGATGAACAGCATCTTTTGTGTTTGCAAGGCAACTCTCCTCTTTGTAGATTTCATTTCCTGACAAAATATGTAATACATATCACTATTATTTCCCTTTCCTACTCCTAATGAACATGATATCTTACCTTGCAGTAAGTTTATAATTACGAAAAACCCAAAATATTTCTTATCTTCATCTATACGTATTTGCACTTTTGAGGACATGTATACTATTTTATTTCTAAATGATACAGAAGATGAACAATTATATACAAACCTACAAAGAAATTTGATGAGTATAATAATTTTGATCTAGGTAACATACACTTGAAACTGGATCTCATGATCACAACAAACCATACAATTACAAAATAAAGTTGTTCTTAAGAACAACATTACTTTAATATCTATCTAGAGTAGATTAAAATATACCATTATGATAATGAAATGTCATGCTTGAACTTTAACATATAGGAATAGTTATTTTCTAATGCATAAGAAAACAAAGGATATATTTATGTTTTCAATAAATTTTGTCGTATTTGCAGAACCAACTACATTAATTTAACTTATACCCTATATTGTGATACTGAAACTAGCTACAATTTCTCACACATTGTATATAGACTTGTGTGTTGACCAAAGTATTTATTACAATCAATGTAATATAAAACTGTATTCTTTATACAGTTCATTATAAATAAAGAAATTAATCACAGCTTAAAAACCCCATTCTTCTAATTCTAATTCTGTATATATATAGAACTTACTGGAGTGAAAGACTTTGCATTTGGATTAAGAGTAAACTCCTTTGCATTAGGATTCAAATTTGATGACTTTGTGGTATTATCTGATGCAATAGTTGTTTCAGGTTCAGTTGCTATTAGTTCTTTTTCCTGTTCCTTTAGTTTTTCTCTTTCCTTCTCATATGTATCTCTACTTGTGATCTTAGGTTCCTGGGTAGTAGCTGTTGGCTCAAGCTTCTGTTTAGTAGAATCCCTATGTTGCTCTCTCTGTTCCTTTGGCTCTTCCATCAGCTGAAACAAGATTTCAATGGTATCAAATAAATACTAAAATTATTATTGCAACTCTAGAATTTTTGACCAACAACTAATATTTAAAACTGTCAAAAAGGTATTACATTCGTAATGTGTGTAGCTAAATCAATAACACATCCTGACATCTTAAACAAGATCAACAACAGGTTAATTTAATATGATTTTGTTTTCCTAAGTTATGCATTCCTGTCATATAACTGCAACCTGAAATCAACCAATTCATACCCTTCTTTTAGTTATTACAGATGAAAAATGTTGTTAATAAATTTCTTAAGTAAAACCTGCTGAGAAGAACACCAAATCTGGGGATCACGATAGAAAAAACACAATCTACGTTATTAAAATGTTTGGATTTTAAAGTGAGGGCAAGTCAGTTTTGTAAAAGAAGAAAATTATGTATGCAATAAAGTTCACTAGAAAATTACACAGAATCAGAACACAATGTTTTAAAGTGGAAAACTAGTTACAATTACTCATATTTTAGGTACACGATTTTTATAAGTCTATAATTTTTTCTAAGATAGATATAAATATAAACTTGTATCAGTTATAGCTTATAACTGAATCTCTTAATAAATAAGATCACATTTGAAGAGTACCTGAAAAACAAAATATTATTCCTCTTTAACTTTGGGAAGATATAAATATTGTATAATGAACAAAAACATTACAAATAAAAGTTAAAATTTCATTAAACGTAGTTTATTTGCAGAGCTGAGTAATTAGTGCTATTTTCTAATCAATTATTTGACAGCTCCATTATTTTATAACATTAGATAAATTTACTAGTACAGTTTTTCTCAAACCTTATTATGTACAAGAACAACAATAAAAAGCAAGTTGCAGGTGCTATCAGACACTTGCTTTGCCTCTAATCAGCAGTTCAAAATTAGTGACAGCAGCAGATAGCTTTAGTAGATTTGTAACAGTAAAGACAGGGTGAGCAAATTTGATAGCAATGGGAATCAAATCCGAGACCTAATACCCACTTTAAAAGGAACACAGGTAATAATCATTTAATGAAGACTAATAATTAATAAACATTAGCAATACCACAGATGTCCAGTAATGTTAAAAAAAACAATTTGAATGTATAAAGCTCTGGGTTAAACTGTTCTAAGTCACTTTCAGATTTAGATTTTTGAGAATGTAATATATTTTTACTTTTATTGGTATTTGGTACTTTTATAAAATATAAGCATACTTGCATCATATCCCTAGGTTTATTTCTATACTGTAAAATGCCCAAGTATTGCATAATGTCATGTCAGTAATTTTCTATAGACAAGTAATGAACAATATTTTGTAAATGGTTATCACATAAGCAGATGCTCACTCTGTCATCTACACATTTTTCATTGTTATTCCTAGCATGAAAAATGCATAAATAACAGTAAATGTAAGTATGAAGTACATAAGGAAAACCTGAGACATGTCATAATGAAACAAAACAGTTTAATGTAGTCAGTACACATGGTTCATAAACTGAACTCATGAAAAACTTGAATAACCTACTAAGCTTTAATAATTTAACAAACTTTAAATATTTGCATGAATGTAGAAACACATTATTATTGCAAATTATTGGAACACTCATAATCAGTAATGGCACTAGGCTACTAATTATAAAAATCAGAACCAGTTGCAGCCTGTCTATAATTTTACTGCAAATGATTTATTAGCCTGTAAAAACTTTTATTTTTTAATAAACTTACCCTGAAATCTGAACTAAATTTTTTAAATTCTGCTAGCTGTTCATCTCTTCCTGTATAGAAAAAAAGTGTTTTAATGAGCACTCCTTCATTTGAACAACAACAACAAAAAATAAATAAATAAAAAAATAAAAGAACATCGTAAAAATATATTTGCCATAAAAATAACATTTATTCAACCTGCTTCATAAAATTGAAAAATCTCTACCAAATGTTTGCTTTGTATATATATTTTTTTGCTTTAGTGTAAAAAAAAAAATAATAATAATAAAAAAAAATAGATATCTGGTTTTCTATTAAACAGTGTTGTACACATGTATAAAAATACTATTTTGGGCAGGATATCTCATTTAACACTACATTTCCTTTCATTAGTAACAGACATGATATATCATTGTTGTAAGACTGTCAAAAGATCTAAAATACTTATGATTTGGAAATATTATAAACTTGCAATCATGCAATCACCATGACCACTCAAACAACATTGAAAAAAACCTTTGAACATCTAATATAATACTGTCAAGTACTTTCAAATGAAAATATGATAATAACAACATTATTGATGTCCTGGTAACACGATTGGAAAGTTCCATAAAAATATTAAGAAAAATCAAGGATATGAAACAAGAACATGTTAACTGAGTTTTCAAAGAATATGTGTAGGTCACAAGAGCACTGAAAACCAGTGAGTGGAATATTAATATTTCATATCCTCCACGTACAAAATGTTTAAAGGCTTAGCAACCTACGTTAAGCAGCAACCGAGTACAAAGGTCATAACTAGAAGAGATAATTGTTTGCTTTACTTCTTTATTTACTCTTCTTTGTTTTAGGAAAAATATGTTAAGAACTTATTTCAAAATAGCAATAACTTATATAAATATATAATGTATAATAATTGAAAAGTGACTGTATTTTACAAAATACTAGTTATTAAAACACAGCCAAGACAAGTTACTTTGTACAGACCAGAGGTTAAGTTTACGTTATTGGATATGGTAACATGAGTGGACATGTGCCGCTTCATTGTAACTTCTGTATTATTAGCAGGCACGGCTGAAAGGTCAATATAATAAAAATAATAAATATATATAAATGTATAATGTTATGAGATTTAAGCTATTTAGTCTAAACATTTATGTTTTCATGTTATAATTTGTGTTCATTCTAGAATGAAAGAGGCATAATTTATATTTATTTCCTAATTTTTTATGGTGGTTATGAGATCAGTCAAATTTACTGAACCCGTACAGAGATTAATTACTGAAAATAACAGATAAAATATAAAGTATTTTCTTAAGAAATGTTTGATAACTATCCAGACATTATAAAGATTTTGCATGTGAAATTTCAAAATTTTCTGATGCATAAAAGTATTTTTATATTAAGATGAAAATTATTTTGCATGATAGATAGGCAAGAAGTGAAAAAAAAAGGCACGAGAAAAACATTGCTTTATAAACTTTAAAATTTAATATTCAAATTAGATATTTTACGTATGAAAACATTGTAATGTTTACTGATAAACTGCCAAATTTCGTTAACATTCACTTACTAATTTAAAAGTTATAGCATGAAAATTATAACAAGCACAAAATGGTTACAAGGTTGGTCCCAGGGATTGAGCCTGTACTGAAAGAGTTAAACAAGGCAATGTCAGGAAACATAGAATTACCAGGGGCAGTAATGGGCATAAGTATGCTGTAGTGTATGAACATTTCTTGCCTGCTTGAAAAGAAACTTGCCCAAGCTCAGAGCCTGCTTCAAGAAGTGTCGATATATAAATTAATGTATGTGGAATATTTCTTGTCAAATTCAATTACTTTGTTGGATGATGCTATTAGAAGTATCACCTCTTCATTGGAAGGTCTCAAGGGGTATCCAGGTCCAGTATTTACCAAATTTAAAGCATTTGTGCCTGAATATCGAGTATGAACAAAAAAATGGACTATTCTGGTTTGAAACTGTGTCTTAATATTACTTAATACGCTAAAGGTAGAACTGAGGCAGAAAGTATGCAATCAGTATTTGGCCAGTGTTATGAACAATCACACTATCAGGTTTCTTGAGGAAAACCATCATATTCTCCTGAAATCTTGCTAAAGTATTTGATCTCAAGTTGTGTCATATATTAATGGATTGAAATAATTTAAAACTTTTGAAGATGAATTTGATCAGTTACCCAATTTAAGAAGGTTACAAAAACAACAAATGATCTCTGTGAGCTTGTTTTCATGCAGAAGGTGGAGAATTTTCCTTCAATAGTTTGTTTGGCTTACATTTGTTCAACACTGGTTGTAAACACAGTAGATTTAGAATGGGAATCTGTAATCAAAATTTCATTAAAACAAGAACCAGAATAAGTTTGAAACCTCACAGTTGGATCTTTCTATGATGAATGCCCTTGAAGGCCCACATATTTCTGAATTCAGTTTTAAACAGTCTGTATAAATGGACAAACTGTAGTGAGAGAGTATTATCATCAAACTTTTGATTTTTGATTATGAATAAATAATACAGGTGAGTTTACCTTTTTATCCATTTTGTAATATGGGTTTATCTTCGTAATAAATTTTTCAATTTTACTGCATAACGCATACAAAATTTAAAATCTGAATTTTGGTAAATGTTAACAAGCATATCCATAAAAAACAATGCTACACAACTTCTGTGAAAAAAATTATATTATTTAACTATTACTTTCCAATCATTTCTGTATTTTCAATAAATACCATTGACTGACTTTATTGAATTTGTTATATTTTTGTAAGCGTGTAAGTGACACTATTCAACATTGTAAGCATCTGCCCTTTCAAATAATTAATATTTGGAGATGGCTGAAAAAAATACTAGTTTGACTACAGACTTAATATAAAAAAATAGGTCAATCAGCCATTTTCCATAAATTTTTTCTTACACTACCTTCAAAGAAAATGTTTACTTGTTTTAAGATGGCACACGCATGCTCCAAGAATCTTGAGAAACAATCAGATATTCTCAGTCATTAACAATAAACAATATTTTAGTTATTCAGAATACAAGGAAGTTGAAAATCAAGCACATTCCTTTGCAGTAGTGGACATGAAACAATTGTACCTTTCTGGTTTCCGCCTTTTCTATCCTGGTCCTTTTTTTTTTCACTAGGTTTGGTTGTAGTTGTGACTGGTTGAGATGTTACAGCTGCATTGCTGGTGATCTGTGGAACACAGGGAATATTCTCTTTGTTTTCAGTTGGTGGAGCTACCCTTGACTCCTCTGTTTTATATTCTGAAGAAACAAAAAAAGAACCTAAATTAGAACATCTACACAATATGAAGTTTACCACTAAACTGGATATCATTACAAAGACCTACACTAGACTTAACACTTATCAGCCAGTTTTTAAGCAGTTTGTATTCTAGATCTAGAAAATAGTCTAACAGTTAAATAGCTCTTTAACTTACAAGCCAATAACTAAACAATGTAATTTTTATTTTTAACTTAAAAAGTTAGTCTATTTTAATGTTAGTTTTCTTTTCACAAAAAAAATTAACATAAATAAAAAATGAACTAATTTTATGATTTAAATTTTCAAACTATTTTCAGTAGAGCTGGATGATTTAATCTATTACCTATAAACACCAATTACGTCAGTGTCATGTAAACCAATCAATTAATCAAAATTATGATTAAATTGATTAATCTACATTCCAATTACATTAACACTAAACTGGCAAACAATGATTTATAAGCATAATGAAGTGACTTATTTTTGTTTTGGTTTGTTTAGAACTTCATGCAAGCTACACGAAGGCTATCTGTGCAAGCTGTCCCTAGTTTAGCAGTGATAGAATCGAGGGAAAGCAGCTAGTCAACACCACCCACCACAAACTCTTGGGCTACTTTTTTACCAATGAATAGTGAGATGGACTGTCACATTATAATGCTCCCACAGCTGAGAGGATGAGCATGTTCAGTGGGACAGGGAATCAAACCCATGAACCTCCGACTGCGAATTAAGCACCTTAACCACCAGTTCATGCCAAATCCCTGATTTATTTTTGAGGGAACATACTAGGGTTTTGACAAACCAGTATTCTGTTTAAACATGTAGAACATCCACCCCAAAATAGATTACTTCATTATATTCATAAATTGTTGTTTGCCAAATTTATTATTATACTAGCATAATGTGCTTCCATGCTCAAGTTCCAATTAACTCTCTCGCTACAAGCTCAGTCAATTCAGCCGAGTTTGTGACCCCAAATTGACCTTTAGAGTTTCCATACTATAACTTCTAATATGTTTTGTATATCTTCATAAAATTTCTAAAGCTTTCAGTAAACATTATAATTGTTTTCTACACAAAAATCAGATATTCTAATTAAGTATTTTTACAAAAGATTTGTCTGTGAATATACGTAGTTAATTTTGACTGCTAAAACCTACTAAATAAATATGAAACTTTTTTTTTGAGTAAACATTATATTTTATCTGTTAGTTTCTCTACATTAACTCTACCAGGTTGACCATATTGATCGACCTCATAACCACCATAAAAAGTAAGAAATAAATTTAAATTATCCTTTTTTCTTTCTAGAATGACTGCAGATTGTAACATAAAACTATAATTGTTTATCCAAAATAGCTTAAGGCTTGAACAGTAGACATCTGTTTCTATTTAAGCTTTATTGTTCTATCATCCTTTGAATAATGTCTAACTAATAATCCCACCACACAAGTTGCAAATCACTTGGTGAATGAGCACACCTTGCATATTGTTTTTATTATTTTTATTTTACTTAATTCAGTCTAATAATTTTTACATTTTAGTTACTTTATTAATAATAAAGAACACGCATGAAAAACAAGAAATATAGTACTTACCCAGGTCGTTTGTTCTTTTGTAGACTGTCGATGAAACTTAACCCTACTTTTTTATACTAATCGTACTACTGCACTAAATAATGCACCTCTAAGAATACAGAATAATAACAAGTAATAAGCAGACAATATCTTATAACTATCATAATTTGTCTGGTTTTCTAAGTATGAGATAAGAACCATTAAAAATTAAGCTAAGCTTGTCAGTGTGTTTTTTGTGAGAATAAAGTTCGAACCAGAAGAGAAATAGACAATTCTCTGTACAGAAAACAACATAATATATCATTTGATAGATTAAAACTTAGGCTTTCTTATTGATTATAAGTAAAATAGTATTAAACATCAGAGAAAACAACTGATCATTTGTGAAAAAGAGAATGTGACAGGTAGGGGTAACAAGAGATGTCTGATTTTCTAGTTTATGGCTTTGTAACTAAGATTGAAGGCTATAAAAATTATGCTTTGCCTGAGTAATAACAATATTATAATGAGTAATTTACGTTCAATTCCTTATTTCTCAGAGGGGTGGTAAATAAATTACAGAAGAGGGAAGACCTAGTTAGCAAATGTCACAATTCTCATTAGGGAAGATTAAGGTTTTTTAAAAAAATATTTTCTTATAAAGTTAAGAAATTAAAATTAGATTTATTAGCTATTAGCCAAATTTATTCACATATCATGATAATAAAGTAGTATAATTATAAAAACTTGTGACATGTGCAGAAAAGGGTACCCATATAGAAAAAGTTAAATTGTTTAATCTAAATTCTGATTAAATCAATTGTCACAAAAATAATCATCTATTTGAAATTATTATTTCCAATTATTACTATTTTAGATTATTCCAACTATCCAAGTAATCGAAGTATTGCTACTAAACTTGCTCATCCTGTCTTTGTTATATCAAAACTACTGAGGCTATCTGCCATTGTCACTAATGTTTAACTGCTGACTAGGTTAAAAGCAACGGGCTGATGGCACCCATCACTAATCTGTTTTTTTCAACTGCTAGCTAGGAGGAATGCAAACTCTCTAGAAGGATCTGCCATCAATCATTTAAAAAATTTTTTTTTGCTTTTACATACCATGGTTGGAGGAACACTGTAAGAAGTTTATCCCTTGTTAACCCCCTCGTTACAGGTAGGTTAAGGTGTGCATATCATGACCTTTTACATTTACATTCAAAATATTACTAAACTACTTTATCATCAATTTATACGAATACATTTGGCATCAAAATGTAGTTAATAAATCAAATTTTAATATTATATAACTTTAAAGGTCTTAATTTTATAAGGAAATATTTTTAAAAAATCCTCAATCTCATTTAGTATGACAATCATGATATTTGTTCTCTAGGTCTTCTCCCCCTCTCTAATTTTGTTTCCATCTCCCTCTGAAGTATTGAGTTTAATGCAAATTACTCATTATAATACTGATATTACTAAGGCAAAGTCTAATTTATAAAGCTTTTAATCTTATTTCTTTACAGAATCATAAACTAGAAAGTTAGACCCTATTGCCATGCCCACCTTTCACATCCTTGTTTCCACAAACTGCTGATAATTATTTCTGACATTTTATATCATTTATAACCAACAGAAAGGCAAAGTTTTAATCTATTGAATGATGTATAATGCTTCATCTTTTCCAGTACAGTGTTGCCAATTTTGTCTTAAGTTTAAATAAAAGTTTACCTCATGATGTTCACATAGAGCAGCAAAGGGAATGAAATTCAGCCCCTCTTGTCCTAGTTAGAAAGCCAGTTAAATTATACCAATTATAGGACATTGTTTGTTTTGTGCATGTTATTATTCTGTGTTCTTAGGTGCATTATTTAAGCAAATAAAAATTAAATTTCATTGGTAATCAACAGCAAAAAAAAAGAGGTCAAAATAAAAACTATATTTCTTGTTTTTCATGTATATTCTAAAATGTAAAAATCATAAACTTAATAGGTTAGATAAGGTAAGAAAAGAAAAATAATGATGATAATAAAAATTCTTCACAGAATATGCTCATGAGCAGCTCAAGAGCTTTGTCATTCAACATGGTAATGTGAGATACACGCATTCACCAAGCGATTTACAACTTGGGTGGACAAATTATCAAACTGTAAATTTAACACACACAGATAATGGCTGATTAATGTAAAAAATTCAATATATAATTATCAATTTCCAAGATTATTTTTGCTTGGAAAAATGTCAGAACATTCAACCCGCATGTAAAAAGCTATAATAATTACAAGTAGAGGATCATATCTAATTCAATACTGAAGTTCAACTAATTAAAACAACTCACTAGACTGTGACACTTTACCCCCATTTACTCTCATTTCTTTTGATTCCTGATACTGAGCTGTGTGGTGTGGCTGACGAAGTGACACTGGTTGCTGTTGAGTTGGAATAACAGGAGATTGGGTGCATAATGTTGGCTTGACAGATCCATGATTGGGAGGTGGTGTGGTCACAGAGTTGGATACAGGACTTGGTGAAGAGGCTGTAGACTTGTGGCCATGGGAATGTGCTGGAGGGCCACTATGTTGCGATGACTTTAAGGAGTGTAGGGAAGATGGTGGAGCTACATTTCTTACAGGCTTACTTACTGGTATATTCCTTCTTCTTTGAGGAGGAACATATCTAAGTGTTATTAAATTATTCATCAAGCCTTATCAGATTTCTATAAGCAAAAAACATTTATAGATAAGACAAAAACATAAGGTAACAGTCTGGTTACAGGGATAAAGGATTCTCATCGTAGTTTTAATTTTTTATGGTGATTCAGGTAATTTTTATGGTTTAATGTATAATAAAAATAAGGCTACTGGAAAGTCTAATAAAGATTCCTCACTAAATCCAACTATAAGCATGAATGCCTATGCTAGGAAAGCTATTTTCTGCTGGTCTATTTTCAGTGTAAGAATACATTATGTTTAAGCATTCTATTACTCCAGCCAAATTATTACAGGATTATGTTACTAATAGGTTCTTACGCTTTTATCACAAGTTGTATAGTAATTTGTCTAATGATAAGTTCAGTTTTAACACAATTCTGTATGTAAAAACTGAACTTTTATTTTTCTGAAAATAATTATTGAAACTAAAGATTTAATAACAACCAGGTTAAGAATATTATACAGTAAGACACCTTTTCCTCTTAATTGTAAATCATTTCTGTGTTAATAATAACAATAAAATACACTCACTGAGATAAAGCTTAGGTAGCAGACACATCATCAAACATTATATAAACATCTATAAAAAGTACTACTTAGTCCTTCTTTAAATTATCATATCATTGTAACTGTGTCATTATCATTACCCTTGAAGCCTAAAGTTGCATTTACTAGCATTTCATTCTATATGATTTAATTAAATTTAATTTCTATAGTACACTTTTCAATTTTGGTACAGTAATAATCTTAGTATAATTTGTAAATAAAGAACATATCCAAATGTTCATGATATATCATTTTTCTATACATTTAATACATTAATTCTTTCCATGTAGCATGGTAAAAAGGAACAATGACTTTTTAGATTGTTAACAACTTTATTATTGATTTATGTCAAACTTTGCAATGAAAACATAGCTTATAAGTCAAATTTTTATATTACGTTTATTTTAATTTCTTAATTTCAAAAATAAATACTTAAAAATTCTTATATATAATATTAATTTTATGAACTTTAAATTTTTTACTTCAGAATTTTTTAATTTGTAAAATAGGCTCTTGCAATTCCCAACTAATTAAAAACATAAACTATATATAATTATGAGCAAATATCTAAAACCTGAACATCCTATTTCTATATTTGCTAAGATATCAATAAATTTACCAAACCACTAGAGAAGCTCCCCCAAAACTATCAAGATACTTTACTAGTCAACTTTACAAGGCTGATGGAGATGTTTCTAACCAACAGAAAGCACAGATTCTCCTCTATTTCAAGTTTAAAACCACACATTTGGGTATTAGCTTCAAGAAATATATTGTTGTGTGAATCTTTCTATAATTTACTTACAAACCATATAATTTGTAGTAGTTTTGAAACATTCTATTATGTTGACTGATATATTTTTTGTGTTCTAAAATGCATATTTAAAAGCTAAATGAATTATGGTTTGAGACCCAATGTAAAAAACAAAACAAAAAACACCAGATGTGAAGATAAGAATTCCACTTAGTAACTAATCTATATTTCTGGAAATAGAAAATTTTGAGCAGACTAAAGACACAACCTACCTCCTTGAAATCTTGGTTTGAAAGAAAGAGATGGTGTCCAAGCACATTAAAATGGCTGGGAAAGCCACTAGGGGGACATTCTGAGCTTTCAATTGGTTATTCATGTCATATAAAGAAGTGTATATAAGAGAGCATTTCCAAAAATGGAAAGAGGTAGGTGGGGTGCCATTGTGTTTGATTTATTACATGAGCAATATCTTAGTAAATTGT